CATCAAATGCAGTTGGTGGACAGGCAAGAAGAACCCAGCTAGCCTGCAGAGAGGCTGTGGGTTGGTAGTTCATTGTGTTAAGAATAGAAGGGCTGACCAGATGGTCAACTATTTTTTTTTTTTTCTCTTTGCTGTTTAAAAAGTGATCCAAATATTTGTACTTATTTATGGGATACATACGATATTTTGTTACATGCATAGACTATGTAACGGTCACATCAGAGTATTTGAAGTGTCCACAACTGTTAGTATTTATCATTTCTGTGTGTGGAACATCTCAGGTCCTCTCTTCTAGGTATTTTGAAATACACGATACCTTGTTAACTATAGCAAATAACTAGCTCTTTAATCAATCCTTGGTCAAATCTCCATTTCATATACCCCTCCGAGCCAAAACAACATTGACTAAATCTGCCTCTGGCCCTGTGAAAGGCCAGCCGAACAGCAAGAGGCCAGCACAAAACATAGCTTCCGCTTCTTAGAGCTGAGACTTCACTTTTGAGTGTACTGTGGGGCACACAGAACAACATCGAACTCCCAGGTGATGGGAGGGAGAGTTCCTACGACTCGGGAAACGGAGCCTATGGATGTGAGGTGTGTGAGGAGGTGGGGTGGGGAGGTAATGGTTTTCACTGAATTCCTTTTTATATTTTATTTAGATTAAGTTCTGCTCAGCAGGGTGATTTCTTAATTAGAGCTGCCCAGCCAAGCAGACCTCCAGCTCAGACCCCTGTGCTGCCTTCTAAGGTTTCATGAGGGACCTTGTCCTGCCTTATTTCCTGAGTTCTAATATTTGAATAGTATGCAGTGGATTTCAATGGGAGGAAAAGACATGTAATTTAATCATCTTTATTAGATTTTGCCTGTGGATGGGGAGAGGAGGAGGAAGCAGGAGGGACATGGGTCCTTTCTTAATTTTCTTTTTCTTTTTCTCTACCTTTCTTCCAGTGGTCAAAGGAGGAGGAGGATCAATGGCCTTTTTGCCTCCCCCCCGCTCTTTTTTTTTTTTTTTTAAACAAAGAAGCAAAGTGAGAACATTAAGCCCTAAAGAGAACTGTGTTCATTGCAGGACTTTTTGAGGTCTGGTTAAGCCATTTATATAAAGAAATTACACAGTTCCTCTTTGGTAAACTCAATCCTGAGAGCGAGTGTGACAGGCCTACAGCTTCTCATTCTCTTCCTCACTCCAGAAGTTGCGGACTGCGCTCAGCAAGACCTCATAACATGGAGGAAAACTAAAGAGATAAACGGTCCATGGTGTATCCCCTTGCCCCACCATAAATTGACATCATTTTGTGCACAATCCAGGGAGAAGAGAAAGAAGACCAGAATCTCGCAAACCATCTGAGAGAAGGAAGGGAGCTTTGTCATGTTGCCGTCTGAGGCAAGTATATTTGGGATGGGACAGCCAAGCTGAATAGGAATGAACAAGAGCACTTGGTCAACAAATATACAAATCTATTAAGGTTTTTTCAAGAAAGAGAGAATGGCTCACCAAAAAGAAAAAGAAAAAAATGTGTCCAGAATTCTCCCAATTGTCCTGCTAAATACACACACACACACACACACACACACCAGCCTATAATCCCCCCCCACCTCATGCCCCTATTCTGTTGATCTTTCCTCACTTAAAAATTATCGGAAAAGAATTTATTCATTTGGGAGGATTCCAGGCACTACATTTATGGTGAGTTCAGATGAAATGGGATCCAGACTTTTCAAACCGTACTGTTTTACAGATAAAACACAAAGGCAGAACTTCATTATCTGGAGACACTGCCCTTTCTTTTTTCTCCTGCCTTTTGTTTCTGAGCAATTTTAAGCTTGTTTGGAAAGTATCATAACGGGGCAGAGCGTTTTTTACCACATCTACTTCAGGAGGGTTTTAAATACAGAATAATAAAATTATTGCTAAACAGATGGAAGAGTTTTACTAAAGCTAGAAAAGACACTTTTACTAATACACCCTATAGGCTGATCTCAATTCTTTCATTGTTAAGAATGCTTGGTCTAAGAGAGTTGTATTTATGTGCCAAATGGCTTTATTAAATCATTATATTAACACAGAAAAAGTCCTATTACAATGACTGTCTCTGTATGATCAAAACTTGTCCATGATCCTGCTGATAGCCTATTTATTCTGAAATTTAAAAAGGTAACATTCCAGTACAGCCCAATGTTTGGCCAAGTTTTACAAAATGCATTCTAATATGGCTGGAAGGGTTACTATGTCCTAGCCAGGAAAGGCCTAAGTTTTATCAGGGCAGTAGTCCCCAGACAAAAAGAAAACGTGAAAAAGAGACCTCTCTCATCCACTCATAGAAATTAATCCCTGGCAACTTGTAATGATTTCACCTGTAGAAATACAATGGGTCTGTGATTTCTACTTTGATTAATAATAACAATAACAAAACAAAAACAGAAACCCAGGGTAATCTCAGTGCTTTGGGAGGCTGAGGCAGAAGAAACACTTGAGGCCACAAGTTTGAGGCCAGTCTGGGCAACATAGCAAGACCCTGGCAAATAAACTTAGCTAGGCATGGTGGCTTGTGCCTGTAATTTCAGCTGCTCAGGAGGCTGATGTGGGAGGATTGCCTGAGCTCGAGAGTTTGAGGCTACAGTGAGCTATGATCATGCCACTGCACTCCAGCCTGGGTGACAGAGCAAGACCCTGACCCCTCCCTCCCCTGCCCCCACACCGACCACAAAGAATCCCAAGTGACAAATTTAAAGGCAAATTAATTGCACTGGTGAATCCAGGACTATGGCATGTGAAAAGAGTTTAAAAAGCCAGGAGAAGCAAAGTGTGTTGTATACTGGATTTTGAAACCGAATTAAACAGAGAAACACACACAATTTTTGAATGTAAAATTAATACATGTTGATTATAGAGAAAAAAAAAAAAAACACTCCTAAGCCTACCACTGAGAAAGCATATTTGTTTTGGCCGCTCAAGATTGATTTCTGCCTTCATGTGGAAGTAAGTTTAAAGGCTCTGTGTTAGGGCATAGTCTAGCAACATGGGGTCCCATGGGCATCAGGAAAACTTACAAAGGGAAGAAATGGAACTGGGAGGGTTCAAGCTACCAGTTCCATCTCTCCGTGTTTTAGAGAACTGGGGCACTAGGTCAGCCAGGTAAGGCCAGGTCAGAGGAGGGTCCCGATGAAGCTTGAGATGCAGAGGGATGGTGCATGAGTGGAGACCTTGGGTAGCACCAACCTGTGGTGGCAGAGGTGGGGCGGATGTGGCTGATGTCAGGGAGAGAATGGGGAGCATGCACAGGGCTCAGTCCTATAGATACATTGAAAATCCTTTAGCCTTTCAAAGATTATTAACCCAAATCACCTTTCTTTTTTACTCCAGATGCCTCAGTCTCTGATATAATTGCTAAGTATCTGCCGTGTTAAAAATAAACATTTGAGAATCGAGGGTGATTTTTCTCTTTTCTTTTGAATTGTAATTGCGATGTACTCATGGTCTGCCATGACGTGAGGTCTGGCTTAGATTAGCCCCTGGCTGAGAGACCCGTGCTAATTTAGTGCCTGCAATTATGCCTGCCTCTAATTGTGTTCTGCTCTTTGTAGGACGTGCCCTTTGAGTTTCTCTGCAATAGCAGCAATGGTTATGCTGGGTCATCTATACTTTCTTGCCCCAGGCCCCTTGTGACACACATTGGTGAGACAACTGGCCAGGATTAGGGGTATGATCTGTGACCCTGAAACAGAGTGAAATTGATTGGCAATGAGGGATGAGGGGGGTGATCCTATGAAAATTGTAAGCACCGTAAGTATTCTAATATCTGACCCCCCACTGCCATGGATGTGCACCTGCCTCCCAGCTGTAAAGATGCTTCCGATAAAAGAATCAAAAACAAAAACATGCAGAAAAACAAACTTTTTTGTATTAGTGCATTTGTCTGAGGTGTCATCCAGCTGTAGCTTCAGAGTAGGAATGTACCTGTCAACTGAGAATTGAGAAGGATCAGCCTTTGCTTTCTGTCTGCAGAGGCTGGCAAAGGGGTAACAAGCTGCATAGTCCAGTGCTGGCAAAATAAACCACTATGTAGTTACAAATAAGAGTGGGTGGGTGAGTCGAAAGATGGGTGGATGGGTGAGTGGGTGGGTCCCCTTCCTGATGTATAAAAACAGAACTCCTCGGTTTGGGGTTCATGTTACAATTGGACTCCAGGAAAACAGACTATACATTCAAAATAATTCTAAACCAGCTTTAAAATATAAATTAAAAAGTATTTTCCCTCTAGCACATTTGAATATTATTTACTAAGAGAAAGAAGAACAGGCTACATGCCATCTTCGATAGCTCCCGCATGCTCCTAGATTCACAAATGATACCAGGGAAGCCCCTGCTTGCCTCTGTGCCTTTGAAGAGGCGGGGGGTGTAATGGGAAGTCTGAAAGCTCACCATCACGCAGCTCCAACTTCTTCTTCCTGAGATGGGGCACTTGGCTGTGAAGCCACAGGAGGCTGGAGGGGTAGAGGCTGGGGGCAGGAAGAGGAGGAAGTGAGGAAGGGGGCGATGCCCGGGAGGGCTCTGGGAGAGTAACCAATTCCTTCATTGGGGGCAGGCGGGAGTCTCCAGGGTCATTATGGGGCAACCTGTGAAGGGAGGGGAGGAAAGAGATTTCCGGAAGTCTCCCGCTCTCCCCCCTGCCTGCTTCCCTCCTTCCCCTAGCGGTTGATTGCGAGGAGCAGCGGAAGGAAGGATGTATCAAACCGAAAGAAGAAAGAACCCCTGCCAGTCGCCCCCATGACATCCGACTCTGAACGGCAGCGATCTCGAGGCTGCGGCGTGTCGCAGATTAACAGCAGCGAGGGCAGGAGGCAAATCAGATGCTGCAAGAGCTGACTGTTTTCTTTAGCCCTGAGAGCCGACTGTAGGCACAGGTTGCATATCAAAGGCAACAGGAATCAGTCTGTGGCAATATTACATCAGGTCCTGTACTGGTGGTGGTGTTGGTTGGGGGGTGGGCGGTGGGATCCAAGTCCTAAAAGATGTCAGTCAAACACCAGCTGAGCTTCTAGACCTCCTTCTGTGGCCCTTCTTCTGAGCAAGTATGCAAATAATACAGTCAGGCTCTATCTCCTGCAATTAGCACAAGGGAGGGCTGAGTAACTAACTGGGAAGACTTAGCCTTCTCCCTGTGGCTAGCTTGTAAGGCTTTGAAGTGTAACTTTTGTTTTGGTTTGCTTGCTTTCCCCCTGCGTAGAAATTTTCCCTAAGGGAAAGGTGGGTCTAAAGTACCTTTAAAATGAGTTTTCACTCCCTGAATAAGGCTTGTAAAAGCTTGAGAGAAAATGCCAGGAGAAAGCATGGAAACTTTTTGGTGATAAACTATGGGCACATAATCAGCGGACAGCCGCTAACCCCAGTAGCTGCATGCTTTCTGCCATCTTCATCTACCTGAGCAAAACTTCGGGAACATGTTTATGCTGAATCTCCAGAGACAGCAAGAGAAGCCCAGCTTGGGGGAAATGACTGGACCTTGATTACTTAGGATAAAAAGAGATCAATTTATGGTAGGACTATCTATCTATTTATGTCTGCACATTCATCAGGTTTGCCTAGGAAAGGAGTCTGAGAAAATGTGTTGGAATTGGGCATTTCTGATGTCTATCCTATTCCCTGCCTTGTTTGATAACACTTTCTCCAGTCCCCAGATCTCATTTTAGGAAATGAGACTTGTTAGCAGGCGTCCTAGAGCCTCCATATTTTTCTGAGTCTTTCTGTGTCTGCCAGCTCCACTGATGTTGTTACTATTGCTGGTTTTCCTCTTCCTTCTATTTTCTGTGAAAATGCTTAGGAGTTTTTGAGAACTGGTGGCCACCAGAGAGGTTAAACATTATAAACAATATAAAGCAAAGGAATCTTAGTGTGCTTTCTTTGGGGTGTGTCATTGCTGTACAGCTTCTCTTTTATCCCAAAAAACCGTAATCATCTTCTGGGGTGGGAGGGGTTGGAGGTGAAGGGATGGCTAGTTGAGGTGGGGGCAATTTGTGCTATACCTGTCTCTGACAGTCTTTTAACTTTTCATTTGTCTATGCAAATTTCTTGTAAAAGAGCTGTGTCCAGAACTGGTTCCTTCCAGTGGGTTCTTGGTCTCGCTGACTTCAAGCATGAAGCCGTGGACCCTCGCAGTGAGTGTTACAGTTCTTAAAGATGGTGTGTCCGGAGTTTGTTCCTTCCAACCTTCAGATGTGTCCGGAGTTTCTTCCTTCTGGTGGGTTCGTGATCTCGCTGACTTAAGAACTGAAGCCACAGATCATCCCAGTGAGTGTTACAGCTCATAAACGTAATGCGGACCTAAAGAGTAAGCAGCAGCAGCAGCAAGATTTATTGTGAAGAGGGAAAGCACAATCCTTCCACAGCACGGAAGGAGAACCACATAGGTTGCCCTTGCTGGCTTGGGTGGCCAGCTTTTATTCCCTTATTTGGCCACGCCCACATCCTGCTGATTGGTCCATTTTACAGAGTGCTGATTGGTCCATTTTGCACAGTGCTGACTGGTCTGTTTTTACAGAGTGCTGATTGGTGCTTTTACAAACCTTTGCTAGACACAGAGCGCTGACTGGTGTGTTTTTACAGAGTGCTGATTGGTGTATTTACAAACCTTTAGCTAGACACAGAGTATTAATTGGTGTGTTTACAATCCTTTAGCTAGACAGAAAAGTTCTCCAAGTCCCCACCCCACCCAGAAGCCCAGCTGGCTTCACCTCTCAAAGTTACGACTTTTTTATTCATTCACTCGTTCACTTAGCCATTCAACAAACATATACCCAGCACATGCCTTGAGTAGGACAAGGCTGAACGCTGTTTTTAAAAGGTATGCTTCTGTAAAGATGCACTCTTCCTTGACCACCAGACCCTGCCAAACCTTTGAGAGAGTGCCTCTGAGAAACAATGAGCAAGGGGAACTATCCCATTGGAAGGGAACTCTTGTGTCCTCACCCCTCCTGAGATAGAGGTGATTATGGGCGTCTTCTAAAGCACTAAGAACTGTAAGGTCTCCTTAAGGGGGTGAGGGATATAACTTTTGAAAATAACAGTAAAAACAGTTTATGTGGGGATAGTTTATGAGAGTTCGTAGAACCCTTTCACGTGCGTTACTAGAATGAGCGTTGGGTTAAGATTAGGCAGACATGCTTCCAATAATACTTTTGAAGCACTGAACACATGGTGTGTTTCACCAAGAAGTTAACAATTGTTCACAGTTGTAGTATCTGTGAACACATGTCCCAAATGATCAGATTAGCTAACGTGACCAAAGAGGAGAGGCTTGAAATCTCTTTCACTTGGTTCCATCTCCTTATTTTGTCACTCACCTAGTGTGTGTGGTCATCCATTCACAAAACACACAGAGATGAAAAACTAACTTAAAAAATCAGGGCCGGGCACGGTGGCTCACACCTGTAACCCAGCACTTTGGGAGGCCGAGGCAGGTGGATCATGAGGTCAGGAAATGGAGACCATCGTGGCTAACACGGTAAAACCCCGTCTCTACTAAAAATACAAAAAATTAGCCAGACGTGGTGGCACGTGCCTGTAGTTCCAGCTACTCAGGAGACTGAGGCAGAAGAATCGCTTGAACATGGGAGGTGGAGGTTGCAGTGGGCCAAGATCGCGTCACTGCACTACAGCCTCGGTGACAGAGCAAGTCTCTGTCTCAAAAAAAAAATATATATATGTGTGTGTGTGTGTGTGTGTGTGTGTGTGTGTATGGTGATGATTTTAGGGGATCAAGTCTGATTTCAGGATTTTGGGTTGCTTCTGTTCCTCTGGGTGTTTTCTTGGACCCAGAGTCAACATTTAAAACAAAACAAAACAAAAACACCTACTGGTTCTCAAGTTTTGACCCTTGTGTCATTTATCAAAAGAAGTCATGGGATCCACAATTATAGGACCCAGGACTGAGTTAATCTTTGAGGGATAAATTGTGGCACATTCTGTTTTTGAGGGCTGTTCCAAATCTAAATATCTTTGTCAGTGATTTATGATCTTCTGTGATTGTTTATTTAGTTCCCTCGGTCTAAAAAAAAAAAAAGAAAAGAAAAGAAGAAAAGTCAGCCTTTAGGGTCAGCCTTCAGTGAACAGCGGCTGGACATCTCAACAGCCTCAGCCCAGCCTTGGGCTTCTGCTGAGATGCAAGCATAATGACCGGGAATGTGATCTGTCCCCAGCCAGATGGTCAATAGCTGGAAATACTACTCCCTCCACGGTAACTACAATCTAGGGGAGGTTGAGAGGGAGGATCAGCAAACCTGGTTGATCTAAATGGATTTCCACTCCATGTTCAAGCATTTTGGGTTTGAGAAAACCCCCAATACTTCGAGCCCCGGGCATTTTTTCCATTAATATTTTAAACTGATGTTCATGTCAAGGGAAATTTAATACGTAGGTTTCTGATTCATTTACACTTAACTCATCAAAATATTGTTCTGTAAGAGATGATTGGTGTCCAAGAAATCTTAAGAGCCTTTTTATAAGCTTTTAAACTTCTTTTAAACATTAAGAAACAGAAGTTGCAGTCTCCCCAATGTAAACAGGAGTGAATCCCTGGTGGGGGGGAAGGAAGGTGGGAGGGTGGAGAGGGTGGATATAAGGCGCCAAGACACACTGACCTCAGTCCTTGAGGGACAAGAAAGTGGAGCCCAGGACTTTCCAGTCCCCACCTAGCGATCAACGTCTCACCCACAGTCAGGGGAGCAAACTGCTGGTTCTACTTTTTTGAATTCTGAAGGCAAAGGCCAGCTTTTCTTAGGGGTCCTGCTGTTGGCAGAGAAAGCTCCCAAGAGTTCTGCTGCAGAGAAGAAGGATATAGACTCCAAAATTTTACTTCCAGGCAAGGCCTCCCCCCACCCTCTTTTTCCCCTTCAAAGAGAGTGCTCATAATGTATCCTTTCATTTATAATTTTATGAAGGTCTCAATTGAACATGTAAAGAAAGTGGAAAAATTCTAAGTTGCCATGGATGTTTGGCATTTTTCCTACTATACTAAAATCTACTTTCTGCCCCAAGCAAAATGGTTTCAGAGATTCCAATAAAAGGGGGTGGAAGACAGTGAGGGTGGAGGTCTGGAATCAGAGTCTTCATGAAATATATTTGTATTTTAATTATTTGAATATGATCGACTTCTGTTTCACCCTATTTCACTTGGCTTCCTATGGTAAAATACAGCTCCTTTGCATTTCATAAAGCTTGTAACCTGTGTGAATGAACACTCACGTGTTTTATCTTGTTTTACTCATGCTTCTACAAAATGATAAATGTAGCAGAATTCAGCATCTCTTGTTTAGGTTTGTTTATTTGCTATATTGTTTTTATTTTTCCTCTTGTGTTTTCTTAAAAGAGGGAAAGCTTGAGAATAAATCAGCAATGATAAAAATTTTGTTCTGTTTTCGGAGTTTTAAAAAATTCTCATAATTTCAAGTAAATGCAGAAAGCATTCATATTCAGAAAAGAAGCCAAGGAAAAATGTTAGACACCACTTTAGATTTGACCAAGATAACATTTACAAAGTGGTGGCTTTTTTCTTGGTCTAAGTTTTAATCTATTGGTATTAGCAGTATCTGTTTTTCTCCTGCCTTGCTTTACACAGATTCATGATTTCCTAAAAATTGATGTTTTACTCAAATTGAGGTAGGTTCTTTTCTACTGTCTTACGTGACTTTGGGTGCATAGACCAAGATTATTTATACGCTGTAGAAGTCGATGGTATTAAATCTGCTCAAGAAGTAAGAGAAGTCAGAGGCTAAGTTATGAAAAACCTTTGTCAAAAGACTGTAGGGTGAATGTGGTTTTTGCATCCAATGCTTTACCTGTGGTTCTAATATAGTTTTTGTGTGTTCGTCTTCTGCAGGAACATTTTCAGTAGAGCCTCTTAAGACACATGTTTTGGGATGCAGTCAAATGCGTGCTGCTGTATGACCAGCCTATTCGGTAAGGAATGCCCAAAAATTCTGTCTTGTCAGATTCAGATGTGGAGATTTTTTTGAGGAAATTGCATATAGAAATTCTTCCATGAGTTCTGATAGGAACATGAAAAACATCCTTCTGAAAAACAGGATAGACATCTGAGTACTTTGAAACACTCATCTACTACTATTGTTGAAGTGTTTCTTTTTTTGAGTAAAATTTTAAATAGTATTACTGTTACCCTAATTATACTATTGTTTATTTCATGGTTAAATTCTCTGCATCTTTTTTTTTTCTTTTGAGGAAAAGCTAATATGACATATATCTTCATAACTGCTATTGCCTTTTTAAAAATCTCTTTTTAAATGATGAATTTTACAACATCCCTGAAAGCTTAGGTTTGAGGTGTGTGCCTCTTACTATCATGAGGTATCAGTGCTGATCTCTAATGTTGCTTTTGTGCTATTCGAATTATCAGTTTGCAAAGGAAATTCTTGTCCATGGGAGATACGACTACACATATTTTCAGCAAGGTTTTAAATTTTTTTCTCTGTTGAGTTAAAGTTTTGTAAAAAGAAAAATCAACTGATGTTAATTGTGCTGACACCTATTAAATAATTATTTGGTTGGTTTTGTGATCATTCCATGTGACTGTCACAATTGCCCCAATTCATAGTTGATAAAACTGTGGCTTTAAAAACTCATGTGATGCAGCTATTGATTAGGTAAACCAGTACGGCTCCTTGCAGTGCTGGGTAACTGGAGCATGTTGGCTGGACGATCTCTTTGTGATGATGTTTGTGTTAGCCCAGCATTAGAATGGGGACTTAATTGACAAACAGAACTGTTTACATTTTCTTTGGCATAATATTTTTTAAGTTCAGAAGAATAATTTTTATACCCAAAGCCACATTTGCTTATATCCGTTGTACAGGTATATTTCTAGTTATTATTTGTTCATTGATTCACTCACTTAATGAATGCTGACTCTTAGCTGAATAAGGCTGGAAATAGGCAAGGCGCCTGGCTTTGAGCATATAATCAAATAGGGGAAGTAATACAGAAATAATTAGAAAATCATGTAAGAAGGTCTAATACAAGTATTTTACAAAACAACTAGCTTTATCGTATGACTTTCAACTTGAACATGATTTCCTATTTAGGATACGATTTTACCAAGAATGCAGGAAGTTAAGCCTTCATAATATTTACAAACACTCCAGAGTTAACTTTTTTCTGCCCTGTAAATATCACCTCAAGTATTTGGTTTTGCCATAAAACATCGGATAAGCCCAATTTGAAATGTGATTCCTAATTCTGGAAAAAAGCAAATGCTACTAAAAGATAAGCTTCATTTTCAGTTCCTTTATGGCTGTTAGTCACCAGAAGAAGGGAAAGTCAATTTCCAATTTATTTCCAATGTTAAAACCTTCATTTTGAACATTGTTTTTCATTCTAGTTATAGCTACATCCAACCTCTTTGCAATGGTTGGAGACCCTTCCCTAAATTGCCCTCTTCTTTATGGACTGTTAAACTAGCAGAAAGCACTAATTAAATGATCATTAGCTTGAGGATGATTGATTACACTTAGATTTACATGTTGCCTTTTATGTTCAAAGAACTGCTTAAGCATCAACTAATTAATCTGCAAGTGAAGAATACTTCCAGCATTACTCTATAATTAGACAATCTCAGGAGGAAACAAGAGGATTTCAAAGGGGAGTCAGATGGTTTTGCACACCGCTACCTCATTTATTTTTTCATTGCTCAGGTAAAATGGCCAGACCTGAATCCAGTTGCCAACTCATTATTCTTATTTACAAATAAATTCACTTTAAAAAGGCTAAAGTTGTATAACAGACGATGAGCTGGAAATAAAAACAAATGAATAATCAAAAGTAATGCCTTTCATCTCAGCTGTTTGGGTTATTTCTAACACTTTATTCCCCATACAGAGTGAAATTAAGCAAGTCTGTTTCATGACATGTGGTAGACTGTCCTTTCTCTCTTTTCTTTCCCATCATACTCTTATTTGCAAGTTATTGCTGTGTATGTGTGTGTGTGTGTAGGTAGATAGAGAATTAATACTTATTTTGGGCTTTGGTTTCCTAAGTAGTAAGTATTTGAGATAGGACAGATCAAAAATATATATGATAGGGCTGACAAACAGAATTTTATAAATATTTTTGGGAAACAAATGTTTGTGACCATAAGAATGATTGATTGATAGAATGTTGGGAATCTATTTGGTGTAATGATGCATACATTGAAGTAGAATATATCTTTATAAATTCATCCCAAAATTATATTTGAAACCGTAATGACTTTTGCACCAACCCAATACACAAAACAAGGACCTTGAATAGTAATAAAAGACAGTGGTTTTACTCAGGCATCTCATCTGTATATATGGGTCAGTAGGACAGCTCTGACCTATACATACAAATTAGGTAGGATATTAAAATGATACTAAAATGTCAAGCTTCTGTTGGTCAGATGGTTATTTATCAAACTTTCCTTGAAGCATAAGAAGTCTTCTAAGCTTTACAAAATAGAGGGATGTAGCAGTAAGCAAATTCAGTTCAAGTTTCTGTTTTAGGTTGGTTTTAGATGAGCTTGTGTCAAATGCTAAATTTTCCCTAATTCAGCAGCTAGCTTGTATATGAACATTAAGTGTTTGTGGGGGAAACTTCACCATTTATTTTTTTGAAAACTTATAGCTATGCATTGATTTGCATTAACTTCTCTCCCCCACTTCACTTAATCACAGTAAATTAAAGTGATGATCTGTTTTTAGGTTAGAATTTGCTAAGTGAGTGTCTTTGGGAGCAGTCACTTAATTTTCTCACTAGGAGTATGCAGTTTCTAACCTGTCAAGGACAGCCCAGATTTACCATGCCACACAGGCATTCTGATACGAAATTCAAAAAGTTGGGATTGTTAGGAGAGCTAGAAAGCACAGATTGCACTCAGTTGGACAAAGATAAACAGAAAGCATGTTTTTTTATGAAATCGGAGATTAAATGAGTTGATGGAATCAAGCCTAGACAGCCACATAAGCCAGAGTGGAAAATTATAGACTAAAATGCATCTGATATGAAGAGAATGACTCTCTCCAAAAACCTTCACTTTTTATTTGATTCAAGGAGTCTTTATAAGCTCAGCAAACCCTAAGATTTTAAAAAGAAAAACAAAAGCCTCCAAATAGCGTGGCTTTCATCCAGCGCTTTTGTGATTTACAAGTGACCAGATTTAAAAGTTTAATCATCTCACACCTAGGGATTTTTTGGGTTTGTTTTAATTTGTAAGGCATGTTCACAGACAAAATGACTCACAAAAACCAAAATCAGCCTAAACCCCCAATTGGCCCTATTCCTCTGTCAAACCAAGACAGTCAATTTTGCCCTGGGATTTCAGAGTGTCCCCAAGTGGCCCTTATATTGATGCAGTGTTCATCTTGCAGCTATAATCCCTGGTTTCTTTTTGAAGTGTACTTAAGCTCTTGCTTAAGTAAATCCATTCATGGACAATTATTTAAGAAACTGGAAAATCCTTTTTCCACGTGAAACCTTTCTTCCTGAGCTTCCTTATAACTTGAGATGATAACTTCTTTGGTCGACTCTATGCCATGGATCCCACTCTGTGAACCTGTGTTATAGAGGCAGTATAACAGGTGATGTGAAGCCTTGATATACATTTGGAAGGTACGTGGAAGCTAAGAAAGTGCCCTTTGAGAAGCCCTGGTCACTTCTGAAATTGTAATTCATAGAAAGTCACTGGAGCTAAGACTTATTTTTAGGGGGAAATAGAAAAAGAAAGTAATAGAACTATGAAGATCAGGTCTTGATTCTTTCAGAGTTGCTAATGCTAATGTCATTATTCTTATTTTTCTTTCAAAGATGGAATGACACTAGTTAGAAAAATAAAAGTCTGTTATTTAACATTTCAGATTATGCCTCCAAATCCTATGGAAGTGTAACAACCATAGAGCAGACAAATACCAACAGCATCAACAACAGAGAAACTCAGTCCAGGAGGATATGAAACCCTTTGTAATAAAGAAAGCAACAGCCATGAACATTTGTGTACACGTGTCTTTATGGTAGAATGATTTCTATTCCTTTGAGTACATACCCAGCAATGGGATTGCTGGGTCGAATGGTTCTGTTTTTAGCTCTTTGAGGAATCATTACACTGCTTTCCACAATGGTTGAACTAACTTACACTCCCACCAACAATGTGTAAGTGTTCCCTTCACTCTGCAACCTTGCCAGCATCTATTTTTTCTTTTTTAAACTTTTTTTATAGTAGCCATTTTGACTTGTGTGTGATGGTATCTCATTATGGTTTTGATTCACATTTCTCTCATAATCAGTGATGCTGAGCATTTTTTTCATATGCTTGGCTGCATGTACACCTTCTTTTGAAAAATGTCTGTTCATTTCATTTGCAAAGTTTCATTTCATTTCCTTTGCCCACTGCAGCACTATTCACAATAGCAAAGATATGGAATCAACCTAAATCTCCATCAATGACAGATTGGACAAGAAAAATGTGGTACATATACACCACGGAATGCTATACAAGCATAAAAAAGAACAAGATCATGTCTTTTGTGGGAACATGGATGGAACTAGGGGCTATTATCCTTGGTAAACTAACATAGGAACAGAAAACCAAATACTGCATGTTCTTTCTTATAAGTGGGAGAAAAATGATGAGAACTCATGAACACAAAGAAGGGAACAACAGACACAGAGTCTACTCGAGGGTGGAAGATGGGAGGAGGGAGAAGAGCAGAAAAAATAACTATTGAGTACTAGGCTTCGTACCTGAGTGATGAAATGATCTGTACATCAGACTTCTGTGACACAAGTTTACCTATTTAACAAACCTGTGTATGTACCCTTGAACCTAAAAGTTTAAAACGAGATAAAGCAACAGCTAACTTCATCCATTCACTGATGTGCTACAACTTTCTCCCATAGGAAGATGCTCTCCATAACCGGTATCTTATAGTGATTTAAAAGCACAGGTTGAAAAGTCCCTACTGGCCTCGCCACCCTTGGTACTCCTCTGACTTCAGTTCTTTCATTTGCAAAATGGAATTGAGCACCTTCCTCGTGGAGGGTGACCAGCACTCCCAGCTTGCCCAGGACACTCAGTTATAGCCAGTGATATGGTTTGGCTGTGTCTCCACCCAAATATCACTTTAAATTGTAATAATCTCCATGTGTCAAGGGTGGGCCAGGTGGAGATGATTGAATCATGGGGGTGGTTTTCCCCCTACTGTTCTTGTGGTAGTGAGTAAGTCTCATGAGATCTGATGGCTTTATAAATCAGATTTTCCCAGCACAATCTCTCTTGCCTGCCACCACGTAAGATGTGACTTTGCTCCTGTTTTGCCTTCCACCATGATTGTGAGACCTCTCCAGCCACGTGAAACTGTGAGTCCATTATACCTCTTTTTCTTTATAAATTACCCAGTCTTGGGTATTTCTTTATTAGTAGCGTGAGAACACACAAACACAGCCAAGTTCCAGGGAACCCATCAGTGCTGAGCAAACTGATACATTTTATCACCCTCTATGAGAAACAAATGTGAAAATGTGTGCAATATATATAACAGTGCCTGGCGCATAAGAAAAGCCCAATTTATGTTAGCTGTTATGAAATGGAGGGGGTCAAACTTGGTCTTCTTTCCCCCAGCTCCCCAACATATGCATTTTATAAAATAGGAAGGAAATGCAACTTTCCACGACCAGATGTCAGATTGGGTCACAATCTTCCTGATGACCTTGAGGGACTTGGAGCAGTGTGTCATCCATCCAGGGTAGAGTGTGGAGTGTAAACAGGATGGGAATTGAATAGTCACATAAACAAGGGTATTTTGTTTTTCTCATGTTCTCTGTGCTATGCTGATGTGGATTTCATCTCAGCCCAATTCTTCCTATGGATACTTTCAGTTCTAAGCTTCTGGGGTACCACATTTTCAACTTTATAAGGTTGGTGCAAAAGTAATCGTAGTTGCCATTAAAAGTAATGGTGGCCAGGCGTGGTGACTCATGCCTGTAATCCCAGCACTCTGAGAGACTGAGGTGGACGGATCACAAGGTCAGGAGCTCAAGACCATCCTGGCTATCATGGTGAAATCCCGTCTCTACTAAAAGTACAAAAAATGAGCCAGGTGTGGTGGCAGGTGCCTGTAGTCCCAGCTACTTGGGAGGCTGAGGCAGGAGATTCACTTGAACCCAGGAGGCAAAGCTTGTCATGAGCCGAGATCACGCCACTGCATTCCAGCCTGGGTGACAGAGCGATACTCTGTCTCAAAGAAAAAAAGTAATGGCAAAAATCACAATTACTTTTGCACCAACTCAATACCTTTCTTCATCATCAAAATAGCCAACACATATTTGACTCTTTCTATGTCACAGGTGATCTTTAATCACTTTTAGATTTTTACATATATTAACTCATTAAACCTAACAGCAACCCATTAAGTAGCAACTGTTGTTTTCCCCATTTTGCAGATGAGGACACAGAGAGATGGAGAAACGTGCCCAGGGTTTAAGATTTTAGTTGTCAGGAGACAAGATGCAAATCAAGGAGGACCGACCACTTTCAGTCTTACTTTCCTCACCTATAAAATGCCCCAATACGAACTGCTCACCTTGTTCATAGGGCTGTTGAAAGAATCAGATGATTTGGTGTACAGGAAAACACGTTATTAGTTTTCACGTATTAGGCAAATATGCCCTCATTATTTTTTCATCAGACTTTTATTTGCTCACTCTTGTTGTATAGTCTGAAATGACAAACATTTTGAGAGACAATAGGACTGCCCCAACGAGGTAGATCCTTTCTGTAATCAGGGAAACAGAGCCTTATTTCTTTGGAATCCTCCCCATGGGGATGAAACTTAGAGCAAAGAATTGTCCCAAACTTAGGTCAGCGATGGCCCCACCTTTCCCCCTCTTTCAAATAGCACTTGTTGCTACAAGACGCAAAACACAAAATGAGGTCCCCAGCATCACCTTTGCTCAGCACAAAAGTGAACCGTGCCGCTTTGAAGATGGGAAACAGATGATAAAGTTTAGGCAGGTATTGAGTTACCATTCTGCAGCCTCAAACTGAAAACTAATTAGAATTCAGGCCTGTTTCTAAGAAGCCAACCAAACAACGATGTCCTTAGAACACATAGTAAAAGAAGCTGATCATTCAAGCTTGGGTTTGCTTTGGATTAGAAAGTTCAGCAGAGACGGTGTGTGAGCACTGTGCAAACTATTCACTATTCTCCAGTGCCTGTGTGCACACACCCACATGACGCTCACTCTGATTAATGAAGGCTATATATGCACACTGACATCGGCATTGGAGCTCCAGAAGCATTAGAAATTTCCCCAGGTGTAGCTAGTTTATTTTCAGGTGTAGACAGGATGGTCATTAAAAACAGAGCCAGATTTGGTCTCCTACCTAAACTCAACACCTCCTCTGCCCCTCCCCTGGCAGCATTTTTATGCCGGTGAAGCCTGTCTTTTCCTTGTTGGGCATGCAAACCTTTCACTCATCAGAGGCCCAGAGTTCTTTGGAAGCCTCGGATGTGTCAGTATCAGTAAACTAATGGAAGCCGTGTGTTCGCAGAATGGAAAAAACCTGGCATCCTAAGGCCCCAGACATGTCTTGCCATAAACAGGTCTAAAGCAGAGACTCTTTGAGTCCTTTTCTCTTCATAGTAGGTTGTTGGCCACCCTGCTGATTAGCTGTTGATAATGTTGTTTCAAATGATTCCATTCCTAAACATGAAGCTCTCATTCTCCAAGGGCAAGGGAAGTAGCTAAGATTTGTTGACTATATATTAGGTGGTATGCAATTTAATAATTTAATGATGAGCACAATGATTATATCACCTGCTGTGTATTTGGTGCATAGGCCTGCTAAGAGCCCTATGTTGACTGATTTATTTAATCCTGACCCCAAGTTGGGAGGTAGGTATTGTCTCATTTTATGGAAAGGAAACCCTTCCTCAGGAGGGTTGAGTGATGTGTCTACTGGTGGTCAGGAGTGGGTTGGGAGAGCCCCTATACTTGGTGTACTTCTTATCTTCCCTGGGGCACAATAACTTGGAAAGATATGAATTATGGTGCTAATTTTATAACTAAGAAAGCTGAAATTTAGAGAGTTTGAATAAATTTTCTAAAAACGTGACTATCTGGTAAATGACAGCAGAGAGGAGATACTCACATAGTCTACAAAAGTCAGTGTATTCTGCTGTGTTTTGCCACAGGGCAGAATTTCTAAGGGGAGAAGGGTTAGATTTCCCAATAGTCAGAACAGGTGAGGTGCATACTCACTGTACCGCATCATATCAGAAGCATCAAAAGAGAAGTTTTTAAAAGAATTTGGTTATTCATGGAAATGCCAGATTATCAAAGTAGTCATTAAGGAAACCGAAATCTTTTGGACTTCTTGGTTAGGTATTTTATATTTTTGTATCTTCAGTGAAAAACAATGTCAAAATCTCAGTGGCTGAAAATAACTAAGATGTATTGTTTACTTATACTACACATTCACCATGTGATATGGTTAGGCTTTGTGCTCCCACCCAAATCTCATCTTGAATTGTAATCACCATAATCCCTGTGTGTCAAGGGAGAGACCAGGTGGAGGTAATTGAATCGTGGCGGTGGTTTCCCCTATGTGTTCTCGTAATAGTGAGTTCTCACGAGATCGATAGTTTTATAAGGGGGCTCTTCCCCCCGCCCCCTTTGCTGACCACTTCTCCTTCCTACCACCTTGTGAAGAAGGTGCCTTGCTGCTTTTCTGCTTTCCACCATGATTGTAAGTTTCCTGAGGCCTCCCCAGCCATGCTGAACTGTGAGTCAATTAAACCTCTTTCCTTTATAGATCACCCAGTCTCAGGCAGTTCTTTACAGCACTGTGAAAACGGACTAATATACCATGGGTCAGCCAGCAAGAGTATGGGACGACAGGGTAGGGTAAGGTGGGTTTGGTGCCACTTTGTCCTCATCAGGGGAAGCAATATGGAAGACCTTCCACCAACTGGAATATCCCTGGCCT